CCTGACTGCCTCTCCTGTTTACCAAGATACAGCTCCTGCAGGCCAGGAAGTTACAACCACTCAGGACAACTAGGAACACCTTGCTTCTAGGCCTGAAAAGTAATTTCTTAGTTTTGTCTGCAGTAATTCATCATGAGAGGGGAAAAATCCTCATGGACAACATTTCTCCCTGGACACACTTACTTGATCTGACTCCTCTTCATAGCCTGTGCACCAGGAGCAAATACAGCTCCTAGGGCAGAGACCACTCAACCATTAAGTCAACTCACCAAGTGGATTTGTGCTTTACATCGTGTTTAGCAGCACTTAACCCTGGCAAGAAGAGTACATGAACAAGCCATAGGGCTTTGACATAGCTAAATCTGTCCTCTTACCTCACATGTGCTCTTCCTTCCGACAAGCGGAAGCCATTGCTGTGGAGATGGATGCCATTCGACACTCCATTGGTAGAGGTTTTTCCATTCTGCACTTCTGAAGGTTAGAAAAAGAAATATATATGCTAATTATCACTGTAGATTATATAAACTAACACCTGAAGCTTCAGGGTTTTGTTTTATAGCAGAGCAAAGCCAACACCACAGCTCCATTCAGAGCAGAAATACAACTTCCACGATTCCACACACCCCCCCTTCTCCAGCCACCTGGGTATGATTTGCCTTCTTACATTTACTACAAGATCTCTGCAGTATCCTTTGCAATACAACTCTAGAACAGAAAACCAGATACACATAGAACTAAATATGTACACACAAAGAGAGGGCAGCTCGAATGGAGCTGCCTTCAGACTGAGCCTACGCCATAATCAGAGTACCTGACTGATCACCAGACGCCTGACATTTAAAACTGCAGAATCACAGAATCCCAGGTTGGAAGAGACCACAAGACTCATTCAGTCCAACCTTTTGAAGTAAAAGTATAGTTTAAATGAGATGAGTCAGCCCCTGTCAAGCTGACTCTTAAAACTGGCCAATGTAGGGGAATTCACCACTTCCCCAGGAGATTGTTCAATGTCTGATTGATCTCATGGGAAAAAAATTTCTTCTGGAGTTCAGTCAGAATCTCTCCAGAAGCAACTTGTGTCCATCACCCCTCATCTTTTCCATGTGACTCCAGAGTCACTCAGATAAAGAATCTTAGTGCTAAGTTGTTGATCATTTAGTAGAACAACGAGGATGAGGGGAATCACTGGAGGAATCCAGTAAAGGAATCCCAGATGCTTTTTTCCTTTCTTTCTCTTCTTACCCTGCTCAAGGAGCAGTGACGAGCTGAAGTAACCCTCTGAAGGCCACGCAGTCACCTCATCTGCCATTTCTACAGAAAATATTCAGCTTCAAGCTTTACAAACTGCATTTATGTTGCTGCTGGGAGTGCTCTTGTGGCTGTTTCACAGGTTGGGAAACTGAGGAGAAACTGTTCAACCAGTCTACCGAACTGCTCAGAGACTTCAGGGTGCAGAAACATGCATGCACACGAAGTTCAGCCTTTCCACAGCCTTTGCCTGAACTTTCCGTGCCCAACAGGGTGGAGCGTTTGCTGCAGCCGCATCGCTGTGAGCCTGTTCAAACGCTGTCCTGCCATTTAAAGCGTGACCTCACCAGATACCACAGCACAGATCACCCACATGCATTCAAGACACAAGAGAAAGGCAGGCAGGGCCCACATTTGCTACCAGGATGTGAGTGTTAGATTAAGGCCTAAGGCACGCACTGAGTACACAGATCAAACTTGGCCAGAGCGCTTGGAGAACAGGAAAGGGGCTGAGCAGGGAACACTCCCTGGTAAGAGTCAGCCTCTGCCCAGGGAATAACGCTGCAGCCATTCACTGTGTACTGCCCGCGATATCTGTCTACAAACAGGCCCTGTAAGAAGCAGAGCCAGGAATAAAAAGGCTTTTGGATCCACTTACTTATCAAATAAATGACTTTTTGATTCAACTATCTCACCATCAGGAGGGATATTAGTGCTAGGCCAGATTCTTAGACTAGGAGATTGTTCTGTCTTCTTCCTCATGGGTGTACCAGTAAGTTTAAAAAAAATAAAAACAATACAGCATTTCCATGCCTGTCCATAAAGCGTTCCCCCGTAGCCAAAGGCAGGATACCAGGACCTCAACCACTCCACAAAGTGTACTTTATCCTTTGGGCACAGCATTCTCCTTAGTTCACACACACACACACACACCCCTCTCAACAGCTCACTTCTCCCCCCAAAACACACATTTTGTCACTCTGTAGAAGGGTTTTAGAACTCAGGGTATGATCTGCACTGCAGAAACAGCCCAGCAAAAGCCATGTCCTACTACACTTTCCTAGTTCCTGCTTGGGCTGGGCTGCACCCTGAAAAAGAGTTGTGTAGTATGTGATTTCATTCACTTTTATAGTAGTATCATACTTACCCCCTGAAGTATGGCACTTCTTTGGGAGGAGAAAAGTGTATGGTCGCTGTTTGTATGTTAGATCAAACAAATAGACCTAAGGAATAAAGAGAATGAGACAAAAACAGTCAGTGAAACGTAGACAGGAATAAAACAGGGCTAGGTAGAGATATGGTTCCGTGATTGTGCTTTGTTATTTCCAATTTTCTAACTGGGGTTATTGTTTATAGACAGATACACACAGGATGGCAGCAGTACCAGTGGCAAGTTCCATTCCAGCACTGCGTTCAGAAAGAAAAATGCTGAGAAACAGGAGCCTTGTCTTACTCAAGAGGTAAGAAAGCCCTTTCCACACCTACAGACCTGACCACAAACCAACCTGCTCAAAAAGCTTCAATTCCAATAAAATATTTTAACTAATTAACACAGTGATAATGAAGAAAACAAACATTTATTAATAGAAAAGAGACAAAATTCTCTAAGATGAAACCAACATTTCCTAAGAAACTTAGAAAGCAGCCCTGCAAAGCCCTAAATTAAAACTGTACTGGTACAGGAACTGACAGCCCAGATCAGACCTACAATTCGTCTAACTCAGCACCTTCTCTTAAAGGGAATGAGTGCACGTGTGAGTAAGAGATCTGTAGAGGACAACCACAGAGTAACCTGCCCACAAGCGAAGTTCCTGCTTAATCCATGCTGATTAATGCTGTCAGGAGGATTTTCTCATTTCACTGATAGGCTTTACAAAAGATCCATGAATATCACCCAGCACTTAAAATTAAAGCAATCAATATTCCAGGTGAAGGCCTTGGCTTCTGTAAGTTCTTTATTCACTAGATTCGATTACAGAAGCAGTTTGATGTTTCAAGAATGAGTTTTGAAATCTTTTCTAGGTCAGCAAAGGTCAGTTCCAGAACTCTGGGTTTTTTTAACTCTTCCAGAGAGCGAAATGTGAACTGGAAAACCAGAACAGAATGTGGTTCAAGTTGGATCAGTGGTAGCATAACAAATAAATCCCTAAATAATAGACTAAATAGCCTGAATGAATCAGAAAGCAGTTTAAAATCAATCATGTTACCCATAGAGAAGTGGCCATACCTGTTTTCAAGAACACACAACAATGTACGGTGACCCCACCACAACCAAATGTCAAACTTTAGCTGTCTTCTTACCTGCTCCCCTCCCATGTTGACCAAGAGCTCAGTGCCATCAGGACTGAAGGTGACGTACGTGGCCACCAGTACTCTCAGCCTGTTGTTGTAGTCAGGAAGCTTGACTGGAAGGTGCCCTGCAGAGAGAAGAGGTCCTTATGTATTAGCATAACCAGGAACCATTGTCTTTGTCCTACCCCGGCTGCTCCCTTTTACAAGGGGTTGTTAGGAGAGCAATGTCACGAAGCACATGCACCTAAGTGATTTTCCCTTTCCTACTGCTGTTTACTGAATCATTCCATCAGCCACCAGACACACAGATGTGCCCAGCTGCCTTTTCACAAGTTCTAGGTATCAATTCTGCAAGGCCATCTCCATATGAAGAGAAGACTGGATTATAACTAGCTCGCTAACAATGAAGTCTGCAGAACCCAGCAAATCTCAGTCTCATGGAGTTGGCTTCTGATTTGTGGCCATCTGCAAACAAATACCTCCATCTTCCACCCTCTGATCAGGTTTCCTTAATAAAACCCTTACCACAATCAAACCAAGGCTCCTAAATATTCAGCTCACACACAGGTTCTTTTGCTTCAGACAGCAGATGTGTTGCATGACCAATTCAGGGGACCTAAGAAATCCTCCAGCGGGACTCATCAGAAGCAAGACTGTCAAAACTGGTCTGCTGAACATCCTGGTCTGAGGTATTTTACAAAACCTCAAACATTTTGGGGAAAAAATGAAGATAGTAAATAGTGAGCACTGGAGAAGAACGTCATCCAGATTGCCCAGATACTGCATCGCTGATTCTTCCTCTGCAGGATGAAGACAAGCCCCTTCTGTGCCAAAAAGATTTTGAAACAGTGGCCCTGCTGGGAGCAGCACCAGGATAAAGCCTGTAGCACTCAGGTTATCCAATCTTTGACTTTCCAATAAAAGACATTTAGGCTAGACAAGAAGAAGTAAGGCCAGCTCACCAACACACACCACTGCGAAAACGGGAAGTGGGCAGGTAACTTAAGCAAGAATTCACAGCACAGAAGGGAAATAATCTGCATTTCCAAGGAACATCCCTGCGTTAGAGAAGAGCTCTTCCAAGCAGTGGTTTCTTGTGTGATGGGTAGAACTCCACTTCTTCAGGGATTAACTTAAAAGTCCCATCAGTCACCCCAGCACAGGTCCCAATACCTGCCACGTAGTACTGTGCTGCACCGTCCGGGAGGGGTTTCTGTCGGTCGCAGAACGTGTGTACCCCAGCTGAAGGACTCTGCTTCATGCTTTTTCTAGCCAGAAAGAAGAACAATCTTATAATCACAGCATTCAACTGCTGGAAGCCTGATCTACACTGACACTTCTTGTTCACACACAAGGGCAAGGCCTCATGTCTGTACAGCTGTGCAGTCACAAGCCTGCCTCACACCACCCCAATGTACTCGCCCAGATCGGAAAGACTGTGGGTGATAGAAAAGACTGAGTAAAACTGCATGGTGAGAGAGGCGAGTGCCAGATCACTGCAACTCCCCCTTCCCACCAGAGGCTCACAGATTTCTGTAATGCTCAGAAAAGCCAGCTGCATTACCTGTGGTTGTGGATCATGCGTATGTCGTAGAGCCGCACAAAGGGTCCGCTTGCCCCTACTGCTAAGTAGTTGTTATCCTGGGGGTTGACAGTCAGGCATTTGGCCTCCACCAGCTGCCCACAGTACTCGGTCAGGTCTATGAGGACTTCTGAGCGTTTGCTGTTCTCTCGCAGATCGTACTGCCTGCAAAGGGAAGGGAGAGTCAGGCAGTCCCTGTCACCAGACAACAGAAGCAGCAACAAGAGAGAGGCTGGTGCCTCTTTCCATGGTGACCAAACTGAAGACCACTCAGTGACCTACACTTAATTATCTGGCTTGTGCATGAAGAGATGACACTAATGACATTAACAGTCATTTGTGCCACAGGTTACCAAAAGCATCAGTTTAATGTACACTAGGCCTCAGTATCAGGCCAGCCATTAAAAGCAGCTCTATGATGTGCACAGATCTATTCAAGTTCCAAATTAAACTCATTAAAAGACATGACCTCACAAACAGTATCTCATGTGAAAAGTGGAACTGACTCTCGTAGTAACATTACTCATTCAAGAGTCTCGATGACTCTGGAGGGAAATATCGCTCACTGTTGTAACTCCCTTCCATTTGACACAGCTTCCATTTGGCTTCCTTTTGCAGTGGGGTAAAACAGAAGATCTGAGGAGAGTATTTATCAGAGGAGTCTACATCTCAAGACAAATCCTTCCAGTTTCAGGAAAGGGAGAGATTAGCCTAAGCTCTTTAGTACAGAGACAGTCTCCTTCAGATCTGTGCACAGTACACACTGCAATGGATCCTAATCCAATTAATTTTGGGGCAAAATTACTAGAGTTCAGTACCTGATTAGCCCATCTTCTGCTGCACTCCAGAAGGTGTTAGGCCACATGGGAGCCGTGGCAATCCTCTTAACTCTGTTGGTGTGATCTCCAAACATGTGGATGGTCTCCTTAACAGTCAAGTCATGGACATGCACCTTGGAATCTGCAGCTCCTGTGATGAGGATCCGATCCCCTGAATGCGGCAAGAACTGTGGGGCACAGATCTGACATCAAACCTGGGAAGTGCTGAGGTGTTCACACAGACATGGCTGCTGTCCTGGCAGCTCACAGAGCAGCTTGCTTTAGGAACACAGGCTGACCCGTGTTCACAGAATCACAGAATGGCTCGGTTGGAAAAGCCCTCTGAGATCATCACGTCCAACCGTTCCTGTCTACCCCCTAAACCATATCCCTAAGTACCTCGTCTACCCGCTCTTTAAACACATCCAGGGATGGTGACTCCACCACCTCCCTGGGCAGCCTGTTCCAGCTTCTGACGACCCTCTCAGTAAAGAACTTCCTCCTTATCTCTAACCTGAACCTCCCTTGGCACAGCTTGGTGCCGTTTCCCCTTGTTCTATCCCCCATCACCAGGGAGAAAAGACCAGCACCCCCAAAGTGTTATTACCTACATTACACATACACCAATGTGCACACTCAAGAGTCACCAGTTACAGCAGCACACAAAATGGGCTCTTCATCACACACCCCAACAACCATTTCCTTTGATTAAGCCTGGGAATGGGTATTAGATTTAATGCATTTTTTTTTTCCAACATTAGAAAAATTAAATTATTTGGGGAGGGAAATTGGTTGCAGGAAAACGTTTCCCAGCAAGGATCTATTCTCTTGCTGCCTAGGCTGCTGATTTTGTTAGCCATTCGTTCCTTCTAACCATATACCTTGACAGAAAAGATGTTTGCAGTGTGTCCTGTGTGCATAGAGAGGAGTTTCTTGTGGTGCAGAGGATCCCAGACAATGGTATGTTGGTCATCAGAGCCAGAGGCCAACAAGCTAAAAGAAAAAAAAGAAGAGAAATATGCATCATGTTCTCTTCTGTTCTAAGCTGTGACCAATTTCTTAGAGTGGTTTGACCACAGCCAGCCATTAAGTTAATTCAGCTCTAAGCAGCCCACTTCCTCTCTCTTTTCTCAGCATCGTGTTCTTGTTGCTCCCCATGCGCCAATCCATTCAGCCAGTTCAGAGAGCTAAACCAGGCGAATATCAACGCCGTAGAAAATAAAGTGGTTTTCGTTGGTTTAGCTCTTTGAACCAGCTCACCACACATTCAGATGGCAGAGGGGAAAACAATAGGAGCTTTTGGTCAACAGCAAAATGCATGGCCCCCATTTTCCTTATTAGCCTGGCTACATTAACTGCTCCACATCATCCCCAAGCCAAGACATTAATTCCTGGACTTTGGATGTGCCCAAGCAGTCCCAAGCCTGGCCTCACTCAGTGATTCATAGACTGCTTTTCAAGCGTAGGGTGTGGTAGCAGTATTGCAGGGCGCTGTTTGCCTTCTACATCTATCTTCACTGGAAGCAGAAGAATTTGACATCTGCAACCATCAGCTGTTGTAAACTTATTTCCTTGTAGCCAGGTCTCTTTCAAGTACATGAAATTCTCACTGGTAAATAATTCTGAGGAGTATCAGACAGCAGACTTTGGATCTTGTAAGAGGCGTGTCAAGAAATATAAACTCTTCCTTCCATCCAGTCATTTCTCATGCAGATATTCTTTATTCCACTTGGTTAACAAAAACGCTTTAATGTTTACCCCTCTGCAGTTTTAGAGGGAAACTAAACCCTCTGCCTCCCTCCCTTATATATTTGTCCCCCAGCAGAAGCTTTTAACAGCATGGCAAAGGGGGTGGGGAAATGTGACTACCAGCTGGGCAAATCCTAAAGATCCATTATAATCCATAATACCACTTAAGAGAAGAGAAGGAGCCTTCAATCCCCACTTCTTAGCCTGACCATTTCCCTTCTGAACTCACTAAAGGGGCATTTCTAATAATATCCAGATATATTTAACAAAATAAAGCTTCTTTTGAAGCATGAGCTAAACCACAGTTTACAACTTTGAGCCTCAGCTCCACTTTACCAGGAATGGGAAGACACTAGGAATGGGATGCAGCTGCTTACAATACATCCTACTCTGGGGAGTATTTGGGGTTATCAGTTTGTTGATCCCTCAAATTAAGCCACACACTTACTCTCCTTTTTCATTCCATTCCAGACAGTTGACACACCCGGAGTGACCCTGAGGTAAAAAACATAAATGGGAAGATGAGATTACACAAACTTGAGACTTATCAACCAGAGCTGTTCTAAGACAAGGACACAGTGAGCTCCCCACACATAACGACTTGTTCCAATACAAGCAGGTTTTTTTTTATTCCAACCCTGCAAAAAACCACCCACGTGGCAGATAAGCACCTCCAGAAAAGACAGACGTGCCATAGCATTTGGGTTAGAAAAGGCAAAATGAAACAAATAAAAAAAATAACGTAGTGTTGAATAAAATGGCAGGTTAGGCTCAGAGGCTACAGATGAAATCCTGCTGTACACATGGAAAGGTGACTTTGCTTCAAAAGCCTTTGGCTAGGCTGACAAATTACATGTACAGGTTCTCTGAGAATGCAGGGAAAATGCACTTTTGATAACTCTGTTAGAAGCACCTTGCTGCTGGCTGACTGTATCATACATCTTCACCCAAATTAACAACTGTACCACAAAAAACTAAGAGAGCACTGACTAGCATTGGATATGGGAGATACTTTTGAAAAGGGGGAAAACAGAATCCTTTCCTCCCCCAAATCAAGACAATCTTAAGATCTTTTCAAGCTGTGTCAGACTGCAGTACAACAACCTGTTTTTTCAGGCAACACATTACACTCTTCAGCATCAGAGCTGAATATCTGGAACAGTTGACAGTTGCCTTCTTCAGGCACCACTGCTGGGATTAGCTGATACCCACCCGTGAAAGGCTCTCTCGGAGGTGCGTTAGGTAATACAGAAAGCTCACACAAGATCTCACCGAGCTATTCCTGGCTCTAATGCAGTTTAGGGGACTAAGTAATCAGTATCTATCCCATACAAGAGAGAGAATGCCATACACTCCTGCATGCTGTCCTTTCTGCAGCGAGTTGTACAACCACCAGCTCAGTTTGCTCTTTAACCACTGCCCACTTACCTGCAATTCTGCTTCTAGGCCCAGGCGTCGAATGAACGGATCGGTGACATGGTAGTGTCGCTCAAAGCCCAGCGCACCCCTCTCCTGCATGAGGCAAACAAGCGCCACATTGACTACAGCAAACAAAACAGCCCTTTTTTCCTTTAAGAGAAGATTCAAGAACTGTAAAAATCAAGCAAGGACCTTGCCAGGTATTGGGGTGTCCATAGCATCAGGTACCTGATCTATAGTAGGGAAACATCATGCACATCATTTCCAAGTAGGCACTTTGTAATCCTTGCCCCTGAATTGGTTTAAAATGACATTGATCTAATTGCCAGGCTCCAGCTGGGCAACCGAGACAAGGTTTGAGAGGCCCACACCAGGACAGGATAAATGGAAGATACAAAAGGGCTTGGGAATGCCTGTCACTACCCCTGGGCAAGGATTTCAGAAGCAACTCACTCCTGAGGACTGCAGGACCAGTCCACAGCTGCTCAGGAGAAGTCCACTATTACACAGTATTTGTCCTGAAGCACCATCACCAGGGGGCAAAGTACTGGGGTAAGTAACTGGACAGCATCCTTTAGAGATGGCTTCTTTCATCAGCAACGGAGCAGGAGATGTAGCTGCAGTACCACAGCACAGCCTGTTCTACAGGGAAGAGCACAGCTGCCACAGAACTGCGTCAGTACAAATGAAGGTGAAGAAAAGCAGGACAGTTGTTTCCCCTGTGATCTCGCAGGGTTCACAGATGCATTAGCAGATGGCTTCGATGAAAGAAGGCCAACCGCAGAGGCAGGCATAAAGCAAGGGGAATGCAAGTCATAATTTGGATGGAATAGCTAATGTCCGGGGAGGTTCCTAGGACCTTGGTCCTGTCCCATGTCATGCTATAGTAAGGTAAAGGCAAGTTAAGCCTTCGTTATCACCAGCTATGGATAAGAACATTAATGTCAAAAATTACACCTGTGGTACTAGGAACATGTCAGTAGTCACAGAGCAGACACAAAGAACCAGCGCGCTACACGACAGCTCTGCAGACCAACGTTAAGTAATGAACACGACACAACAAAAGCTACTTGAAAACAAAATAGAGACAGATATAAAGGGACTGGAGGAAAAACAAAACAAACCAGGCTTTTTGCAGTTAACTTCCATTACAAACTTCACACCCCTTGACATATTTTTATGGGTTGCATTCCCAAAACACTGCTAGGCCCAGTGCAAGGTGCTGCGGTTATAATTGCCTTGCTGTTGCAACCTCAGTGGCTTTGTGAGGTAGGATATTGCAGCAGGAGATTGCTTCTCCTACAGGGAACTGTCAGACTTAGCAATCTTCCCAAGGTCACACATGAAAGTCTGACAGAGCAGACAGCGTGAAAAAGTCCCAGGCTAACGCTCTAACCACAAATCCATCCCTTCCTTGTTAGGGCAGCAGAGTAAATCTTTGCACATGGATTAAATTAAAAGCTTGTAATACAAAGTTTGGTCCCAAACTGCAAAGCAAAGTGAGCATTCAAGCTCCTTGTTCCTTATTCTGGCCACTAACAGACCACTTTTGTGAATGCTGATTACCAGCAAAGCTGCAAATGATTTAAGGCCTCTGAGTCCAAGCAATAATTGCCTATTGTGTCTGCTGTAGCTAGTCCTTTCACGTTAAGAGATATTTCACAAATGCAGCCATCAGATGACTGATCCGACCACCACAGAAGTTTT